CTTGCCTCTGCTTTTTGCCAGACATAGTCTATGCAGTTCTGCTCTGCAGAGCCAGGTGTCCAAAAACAGACCCCACTGGCTTGGAACAGGCTGGTGGGTGCCCCGTGGTGCCTCTGCAGAGGTTTGAGCACCCTGTCACTAGAGGAGTGGGGTCTTCCTATGACTACCACATGCAAGACCTTCTTGCAGGCAGCAACTGGCAGAAAATACTTATCTCCAAGACCATATCGGATGTCCCAGAGTTGCTCAGAACCCCTACCAGGATTTCACGATATAAATAGCATCAGTGAATTGCAGCTGACTTCAGAACTGCCCATGGTGCCCACAGTGGTGACAGGCTGCTCCTGCTCCTCCAGGCACCCACAAGATTCTGCTGTGACAGACAGCAGCAGGGACACCCCTGAGGACCTTCCCCATTAGGAGCCTGGGTTCCTCTAATGCACTTCCCAGTGCAGTAATAAATGGGATAAATACAGTTACTGCTCTCCAGATCTCTTCTCTTTATGAGGTGCTGGAGTCTGCATATCTGCCTCAGATCCCTAACTCACAAGTTGGGAGGCTCATCTTCTTCAGTTTACACAACATATGTAACACAGTTAAGAAATTCCCCCCAGTTGATTAATTTTCCCATCAGTTTTATTCTTAGAAGAGATCCAAGACTGTATGCATTACTCAGCAGTCATAATGCTAAATTTTTAGGGCTTTTATCTGGTCTGTCTTGTCTTTCCAACTTGTACTCAGGGTGCAAACAGTGGCAGCCTGAGATGGATTACAGCATAGCATATACTTAATGTTGCGTATCCTTAGAGGGTTGCATAAACCGGGCTGCTTTACAGCCCAGGTGTGAGGAATTTCATATCTAATCACAAGGAAAAGCACTTAAGAGCGAGGGAGGAAAGCTGAGGGAGACTGCTGGGGGAGGTAGGTGTGTGTATGTTACTGGGGATCTTGTATCTGGCAATACAGTGAGTTTGCTTGTTTTAGTGTCTTTCCCCCTGTTCCTTACTGTAAGATAAGTCTTTTACCAAGCTGTGGCTAGCAAAGGAGTTTCCAGTCAAGGTTTTGCTCATCTCCTGAGGGTGTGACTGGGGTTCAGCAGGCTGCTGCATGTGGGCATCAGCTGCATGTAGAACCTTGGTCACTTGGCTCTGCTCTGCCTTTATCCTCTACTTTTTGCCAGAGGTGCTTTTAAGAAAGATAGACTTATGAAGAAGCTGCATCAACTAAGTAGTTTTTAAATCAGAAACTCTAAAGGATGAAAATTTTCCTGAGGAAAGTGTTTAGTTTGCCAAGTGATAATGAATTCATCCAGGCAAGCCTCTGCAGATACTGCTGTATGGGTGCTTTGTGTTGTCTCCTACTGAACCTGATCTAACCTTTAAAGACACTTATTAAAAAAAAAAAAAATCTCAAAAAGTACCCCTATCTTGTCTGCCATATTTGTGTTTAGCAGAGAAACTGTCTGTGCCAGCCTTTTTGTTATAAAACTTCGTTGAGCTAGATAAATGTAAGGGCAGTTGGAATGAATGAATTGTTCCACTAAGAATTTCTTAGTTGATATGTATGTCTTACAGCAAATTTCTCTAAAAGACATGCAAATATTTATATAAACATTACCAAAGATCTACACCTACTCCTTGCCTGGCTAGCTGAACTTGGACTTGGCTCACGGTAATAAGGATGAACTCCACCTCCACCGCAGAGGCAGATGTATTGAACATGCTTCATCATTTTCCAGTGCTTAGGAGTAAAGGTGCTTAAAGAATGCTTAAACACTTTAAGAGCACTCTAAATTCCTGATTAATCCTTAGAAATTTCATGGGAACTTTTACCCCTTAAGTAGTTCCAAATATTTCTTAGTTATGGACAAGAACCTGCCAACAGAAACGGAATATCTTTAGTTTTCCTGCTGATCCATCTAGTTACAGGTCCCTCACTTGGAAGAGATCCTGTGCCAAGTGCTCTGACATGCAGCAGGTCTTCTCAAATTCTCTGGCTGGCTCATGTAAGCTGTGGCACCACCTGGGGCCAGAGGTGAAAAAGAAACAAGAGAAGCTGTACTCCATGGCCCCATCTCATGGAGAGCCTCCAGGCTTCCTCTGGCTGTGATAGCAGATCTCCTTCAGGTTTTAGTAGTTTGTGGCTGCATGCCTGCCACGAATATATTATTTCTATTTGCATTATTTTCTTTTTAAATGAAATCATAGTTAAACTTTGAAAAGGAGACCAGATTTTTAAGAGCTCCTAGAATATTAATTGAGTGAAGGTATGAGTTATTAATTGCCTTTGAAGGTCTGGTCCCTTCATGTAGGCACCTGGCTCAGACAAAAGAGGCTGAACAACATTGAAAATATGAAACAGCATAAGCATAATTACTGGAAGTTTCTGAGGGCACACTTGGGGAAGGTTTTTATTTGTTTATTTTTTTCAGAAAGTTGTATTTTAGTGTTGCTGTTATTAGTAGAATTAATGTCTGATTGCCTCAACTAAAAAAAAAAAGTCAAAAGTACAGTAGGTTGATATTGTGAAATTAAAAAATGTCAGTAAGGATGGTACTTGAGATTTGATGCCTTTTTAGGGTAACTGCCACTATTTCTCATAATCTCCCTGGAATTATACTTTTTTTTTTTTGTCATAAGTATAATAATGTGGGATTACTTGCATTGCCACAAACTTAAGTTTCAGTTTTGTATACTTTATTTATAACCCCAGAATGTCTGCCTGGTCTGGGATATGTGCAAGGAGAATCCGCTCCCTAGAAGCACGAATGGAGACAGACTACCCCAGATCCTATAGATTTTGGGGACAGAGCTGGAGTTACAGGCCTCTTTGCTTGCTCCATCATGCTCTTATTTTCCTTGTCATATGTCAGATGAGTCAGAACTCCAAGGCTTTCTCTTTTTTACAAAGAAAATCTTGAATAAGACAGGTGAAATAATCTAATTTAAGAGTGAGGAGAAGTTCCTTTATGCAATTCTGCCTCTATTATCACAATTCAGTGTCAGCTATTGACACTTGGTCAAATTGCAACCTTGACACCTATTTAGTTATGGCATGCTGCTTATGAACAGACAGTAACTTTTCCCTCCAATATTTATGGCTTAGCTCCATGAAAATCACCCTCTGTAAATACAAACCCAACATAAACCAAAAAAGTGGGAAGACCAGGCCAGGTAGACCCAGGAAGAGTACATATAATCTTGCCAGGCAGAAGGAGCAGCTTCTCCAGCCTTGATTGAGAGAGTCAGGTGATGTGTTTTAGCTCTTGTAGTGCCATTGCAGTGGCTGTTGTAACTTAAAATTGATTGATTAATTTTAGCTCCTCTGACTCACCAGTATCTTTGCACATCACCTCAATGGGGAGCTAAAAACAGCCACTGAAATCCTAGTGTGTTTTTTTTTTTCTTGCAGCTCAGGTGTCCCTCATAATTACTTGCTTTTTTTTTTTAATTCTTCTCTCTGTAACTTCCTTTCATTGTACTGACAGGCTTAAAGTAGAGCTGGTTTTATTTCCCCTGTTCTTGTGTTGCTTTCCCCATTTCTAAGATTCTGGTACTCCCCACCTGTTACATTTCTGAGGTCATACTGTAGCATGGCAGTGCATTACTACTTTTTATTATATTTATTGGAGGCTCTGTAGACACAGCACAGTATTATAGAGATGCCCAACAGCAACTTGATATTAAAGCAAAGTAGTTTTCCCCAGTGTGAACACCTTTTGTCTGAGAAGTAATCAACTCTAGGCTTAAACAGAGCATCCAAGGTCTCTTCCCTTGGCAATGGTGAGCTTAGTATGTTTAGTGAAGTAGTTTGTTTCTTTACCTTTAATCCATGTATCAAAAGGTTGTACAGCCTCTCTTTTTAGATAGAGGAATTAGAAACCCTACAATTTTTGACAAAGATATTTTTTCTGGGACTATAAGAAGGGAGTGGTGTTCTAATGAGTGAGATTCCTGCCAATTGACTGTTGATACAAGGCAAAATTTTCAGAACATCTTACGCATTATTCAATGCTGTTTTCAAAATATCATTATATACACTTCTTGGTTGCAAGAGGCAATTCTTTCAGTCTTGGTTTTTAACTGACTGATAACAAACCTGGCTTTCTAATCATGTCCACTTAGCAAAATAATTGTACTCATTTTTACCAGGATGTGGCTTCTTGAGGACCTGGGGTTGACCTCAGCTTGTGCATTCCCTTGAAATGCTAGATTCACCCCTCAGTTCACCTATTCACCCCCTGAACCAATCTCTATATTCTTTTGTATGTTCCAGACTGGTACAGATCACTAAGAGAGGAACTTCTTTCTCCTGTGAAATTAATTGTTGACTGATTTATCTTGTCAGTCTTGCTGACTATGTAGCAACCCAAATATTATAACTGGAATAAAGAAGGCACTGAATATATCTGATGGGAAGGGTTGGGCCAGAATATTCAGTTGTGAAACAGCTCTGTCAGAAATGTATGCTGCTTTTCTTTTCCATGCATTTTTGTATTCTAGATTTAATTACTATAACTGTCCACACTGGTCAAAACTTAAAATAGATTCAGAAGCTACTATTTCTGAAAACACTCACCCTCAAGATTGAAACAAAGCCAAAGGAAATTCTTTTATCAGTACATAATTAGTTTTAGTTCTATTTCATGCTTTTCCTAGACTTAAAGGGCCTCTGTCTACCAAAATCAAGCAACCATGTATTTGTGGGTTTATTTCTTGGTTGTGAATCTTCCTTGGCAGCACTTTACATGGACAACTCCTAATATCAAAAACCACAATTGACTACATCTGTCACTTCTTAAAGTATAAGCAAAAAGCAAAATATATGGGATTTTGAGCTGCTGCTTATATTTTAAAAGTGGAAACATAATACAGTAATGTGGTGAAATCCCTGAATGTTGTTTTTCCTGCTAGACTTCACAGATATAGTACATGGGAAGCTCATCTCAGAGACCTCAGTTAGCTCTTTCTTTTCTGATTTTATTATTTTTTTCTAATTCAAGGGATTTCTTTTGCACAAGCAACTATGCGATATGTGTTGAAACTCCTTTACCTGTGTGTAAATGCAGACAAAACCAGGGAAGGAGGCCTGAAAGCAGGTAAGTGTTTCTCTTCAGTGTCATTGAAAACCTACAGATTACTTTTCTACAAAGGTGCATGGGAAGGCAGGTGTTACCTCTGAAGTGTCAAGCAGTTTATATTGACTAGTGTTATCTAGTTTTACTTTCTCTAATAAAATAATAAAGGTAAATTTTTAGATTTCTGTTTTGTGGGAACAACCTGAGAACCTGTGAAACTGAGAAAGGAAAACCATCCCTTGACTGTCTTAATCAGTCTAACTAATAGAAGCATTTTTTTTTTTTTTTTTTTTTTTTTTTTTTTTTCAGAAGAGCAAAGTTCCCTCTGTGTTCTGGTAGCATGAGCTGATTGGTAAGAGTTTACTTGCTGCTTGTTAGCAAAACTTCAGGGGCAATAAGTCCTTGTGAAAACGTATGCAGCATAGCAAGTGGAAAAGAAAGCATGGACCTGACAAGTGCTTATTTCCAGTACCCTACATGTTCTCCATAGAGAACAACTTATTGATTATGTCAAGATAGGCTTGAAAGCCCCCCACAAGGCTACAGTTACCTGCCACTAGATGTTTCACTAGTAACTTCGGGATACAAATGTTCATCCTGAAAAAGTTTTGATAGTCAGTTAACACTCTGTAATTTAGAAGATGCCAACTTAGAACATGACTGTTTGCATGTGCCTAATTAACTGAGTTGTGACAACTACAGTACCTGAGCAGAAAGAGCAAGTTAATTAGGCCAGCCAGATGATAAACTCTAACTTTTCTAGTAGTAACTAGTATGTCTTGAAAAACAGTTAGCCAATGGAAATGCAGGTTTTCATTTGCTTAATTAAACATTTAGCTAATATTAAAACTACATGGTGAAATGACTTGCTTAAAATCTGAACCTTCTATTTTTGATAACCCAAGTCTTTGGAAATTGAAATCCATTCTGTATCAATAATAGCTGGTATAAATGTTTGAAGGTTGTACTACTGCATGATAACCGTATGGTATTGAATATACAAATGCATGGGGTCAGTTTTGGAGCTGTATAAAATAACCTAATAACAAGCCAGGGTTTTCTTAAGGACTTATTTTTTGCTAGTTTTTGTCACTTCTAGTTAAATTCTTGATGTGTTTATTACAGGCAGTTAACTGTTTTGAGCCTGTGTCTGTATTTTTTAATTTGGAATTGCATTTTGACTTATGCTAAATGACATTAGCATAAAAAGATCCCTAGAGCCTGATAGTGTGGTTCATGGCATGTAAATTAGCAAACAATTCCATTATGTCACAACTATTAATATCTCACCACCATGCACTTCATTACACATGCTAGGTTTCTTACAATAGTTATAAATTCTTTTGCATGGCAGCTTTCAAAGACAGGGTTATACATCAGCAATTTTTCATAAAGCAGAAATCCTTATGGCAGCTTTCACCATATGACTCTACCTTGCTAGGGTAAGCACATGACTCATTCTTTATCCAGACTGTAATTTGCTTTATAACTACTGTTCTTGTATTTAAGAACAGTATAATTATTTCTCAGTGGTTTGTTATTCAACATTAACAAAATTGATTTGATGCAACAGTGAAGGGCATATTATGTATTTTATGCATTTTGTCTCATGCAAGAGGGGAAAGAAAGGACACTGAACAGAGTATCAAGTGGGCAAGAAAAGCAAAAATGAAGAAATAGGTGAACAGCTACCAAAGCATTTTCCTATCTGAACACATTGAGTAGGGCCATCTTTCTAGGTCATGCCAGCTGCAGAGATTCCTTACTCCTTATGTGAGATTCCTTGCTGCAACAGATCCTGGGAAAGTGATTAACAGCTGGCTAAGCTCTGTACGTATCACTAAGATTACATCTTCAGATCACTTGTGCACATAGAAATCTTTAGACAAAAAATATTGACCAAGTCTAGGACTAAGAGGAGATTTGGCTGCACTTAGCCTTACTTCTTTGGTTCAACGAATTTAAAAAAGCAAGGGGGTTCACTCTGAATCTTGTGACTCAGACAGAGGGTCTCATTGACACTTCTGACCTACCCTGTCCTCTATGCAGTGAAAAATCAAGTGTACCTTGTCATCTTCAATCTTGTTAAGTTGCTGTCTTATTTATGATTAAGCTTTGTTAGATCACTACATTATATCAATAAATGTATTGTTGCTTCTCTCTGACGAGTGAAGTGTTTTCTTTCATTTGTGAGAGCTTTATATACTGTGGAGTAGTTCATAATAAAAAGTTTTCATGAGCCCCTCTTAATCTTTTCTATCTCTCTTTCCCTCAGTTTAACTTTAGAAAATATCCTGACAGTATATTTTGCCTTTTGACATAAGACCGGTTAAACAATACAGCCATCAAATAGAAAAAGATGTTGTTCAATGAATGATGTGAAAAATGGTTCTGGAGACTTGAAGTGTGCTTGTATAAATTGGGTCAGCCCGTTATGACTAGTGAATTCAAAGCTCCCTGCTAGTTCTGACTTCTTAGGAAACAAACTTGAATTAAAATAACTCAGTGTACATTGTATGCATATCTTCATGTATTTAACATTCCCTGTCAAAAACATTTAACAACTTAAATGCTATTTATATTGCTGTTTTTAGGACATCCGTTTTTCAGCTTATATAGTACTTAAACTGGTATGCATTTTTTTTATCGCAGTAATTCATATACATCTATATAAAAATAGGCTTAGGCATGTTTACTACTGTTTTCCACTAAGGTGTCTATTATTAAAATTGGAGATGGTTCAGCATTTTGTGAACTTACCAAATACCACTTTATTATCAATTTGTACATAGTTTCCATGACCATACAGCAAGCTGTGTACAAACACAAGGCAAAACTCCCTCCAACATTCAGTTGCAGTTCCAAAGTACTTCACAGTAGATGAGTTATGAAGAGTTTTGAGGAGGAAGTATCTTTAAATTTATGAAGTATCTTTAAATGTATTTCTAAAGTGTTCTTCCAGGAATAAAAGATAGCATTAGGGTAATAGTTTTAACAGCTTTAGGTGGTTAAATAGTTTAAACAATGCCGGATGGTGGAAACTAATGTTGAATGGGAAAAGGCTGAGCTCTTGATATACCAGGAGGGATATTAAAGTGGAAGTTGTTCTGATGAATGCAACTTACATTTGATGGGTTTATAAAAAGTAGTGAGTAGAGGAATGCAAAGAGGAACAATGTAGTCAGCATAGAGGGTCAGTAAAATGCTCAGAACTATGAGCGTATATCAGTAGAGCAGGATTACTTTTGTCAGGGCTGCAGGACAGCAATTCTACACTGATGGACCAAAAGCTGGGAGCCTGGCCAATAACTAAGGGCAAGAGGAAAAGTCACATCCTGAAGATATCTTGTGGATTAGTTTTGCATAACTTAAAGCAAAACAGCTATAAATAACCTTATTTTCCCAAACAATGTTTGGGAATTGAACTCTGAAAAGAAATAGTCCTCCTAACTTGTAGTTTCTCTGCCTGCGTATGTCACCTACAATGTCATTGCTCAGCAATTCTTATTTCTACCAAGCATCTCAGTTATTTGCAATGGGCAGTAAAATAATTGGTTATGCTTCATAAATCACTATTCTGTTCTTTAAAACTGTTCTTAACCATTTTTAAACTGATAGTGGAAAAATACTGTGATCAGCAAATAAAATCAAAAACAAAATGATACTTTGCTACATACTGTTTTTCATTAAGAAACAAAGCTGTGAGGTCACTTCATTTATATGCACTATGGAAAGGAAAAAAATCTTCAGTGACTATTGCCCATCTTGGATGTTTATAATAATAGTGGTCCTACTATTAAGTAATGGCTTATAGTGTGATTGCACAGGATTTCCTAAGAAATTGGTGAACTGATATGAGTATAGGGTGTCTTTTAAAATGAGAAGGTGGAAGTATTACTGGTAGCTGGGGAAAGGGCTATGACTATAGGAAGTGTTTTTTAAAGTGACTTTCTAAATCAAAATACCAAGTACTTAAATCAAAGGGCAGAGGTGCCAGGGCAATTCAATACTGGGTCTAGTTCAAGAGTTGACACAAATACATGAACATTTTAATGCCTATTTCAAGTTATTTTATATCTTTTATGATGTCTTTACTGTTGGATATTGTCCCTGCAAACACTGGCACGGGATTGTGGTAATTCGGTATGAATCATGAAGGTGGAAGTGTTGTCAGAGGATTATGGAGTCCTAAAACAAACAGTCTTCAAAGAAATGTCTCTAGGACTTGGGAGAAACGTAACTTGCATAACGTCACAATGATTTATATGAAGATTCTTAATAGCCATTTTTGATGCAGACTAAAGCTTCAGGAAATATTCAATACTGGTTCTGTTGTGGAAGAAAGGATATTGTCTTGTTAGAGATTGGACAATTTTTCCCTCATTTTCAGAATATAGAATCACTGCATTAATATTGTGGAAGTAGCAATCAAAAGGATGACTTTTCCTTTGAGGAGCAAGATGGCTTTATATCTTAGCTAATTCTGTATGTTTTCAAACAGTATTTAACATCTAGTCATCTAAACCTACTGATTTGCAATAGATAAAAGGAAACACTTACCTAAATGAAATGCTTACAAAACAACAAGATTCCAACAGTAAATGAATCCAAAACTATCTCTTTCCTCTTTAGAGCAAGCTTAGGCAAACATTAATTTAATGAAATACCACAACTGGAGTGTTCAAAAGCACCCTTACTTACAATCAATGTTGTCTGTCTGTAACCCCCACTGACATTTCAGCAGCAAACATTTTTCAGAGTGGGTAAGGAGCTGATTAACAGTGCAGGTTTACAGAGACAAACTCAAGTCAATTAAGCCCCAGGAGGGGACCATCAATTAGTGTCAGTCAGGAAACCCTTTTACCACTTAAATTAACATAATGAAAAATAGTACTCACTCGTTCAAGTTCAAGAAACTTTTGCCATCTAAAAATATGGTCTTTGGTAATAGAAATCTTACAGCCACAGAAATCTTATTCTTCAGAAGCAATCACATGAAGAAACATCTTTCCCTATTTTTATTGGGAAATTGTAGTTTTGAGCACTATAAGATGGTAAGATGGTGCTCAAGGAAGCTTGGTTATGTTCTGTTTTAGTTCTTGAGTTGGATCTGCAAGGTGTCATTAGATTGTGAAAGTCACTGTGGAGACAGAATTAAAGCAAGTAACCCTGAAAGATGGAAAATAGGAACAACTAAACCACATCCTTAGCACCCGCATTTAACTGGACTAAATTTTGATGTGTGCAGGTGCCTCTGTATTAAGAAAAAAATCAATGTTTCCTTATTTTACCACTGTTCTAACTTCTGGCTCCTTCCAACAGGCAAATAATAAAGATTGGCTTTGGATATGAATATGTTAAAAAATATATATATAGTTGGTCTGTTCTGGTGCAACAAGTCCCGCTAGGTGTTTTGAAGGTAAGCTTTGAATCATTTGATGTATTGTGAGACAGCCATCAAACTGATTCTCTCCTGCAAATCACATGTAATATGGAATTACTTTAAAAATCAGATGATTGTTAAACAGGATAGTGAGGACTGATTTGTTGTCTTTTCATGCAGCAATCAGATGAAACCTTGTCAATGCTGTAAGAAATTCATCCCACAGTGATGAGAGGTAAGAAGTACAGGAAGAATAATAACCTTTCTGAAATTTTTGGAAATCGAAATTCCATTTAAAAGGTTAATTATTTTATTTTACACCTACATTGTTTAATTTCGGAAAGCCCTGTGCTATGAGGATGATGTTATCCCACTTTGAAAGTTCATTGCAGTGAAGTGGAAGCTTGGACTCTAAATAGAGTCTTCCTCCCCATGCATTCCCCTCCCATGGTCATAGGAGGTTACTGAACTTTCTGTCTAATACAGCCCCAAATGCAGCCCCCATCCAGGAGGAAAACGTCTCCCTGCAAGTACTGCTGGTCATTACCTCTGGCAAGCAGATCAGGGGTGCCTGGCATACCTGAGGGACTTTGGTATATGAAAAACTTTACTATTTTTTTTTTTTCAGAAACACTTTTTTGTTACAAAGCTAGCCTTGAAGGCATAAATCATTGTATACTGATTACTGAGACTACAAGTATTTTCTTTTCTTAGGGCAGATATTATGTTTTCCGTTTCTTTGGGGACACTTTATTTTTGGAATATCTATCATTTTATTGAACTGTGTTGCATTGAAAGTGTTTATCTTATGTATATTGCATTCCATGCTGCAGCCTGTGGCTAAGTCTCATATTAGTAAGTATATTGCTATTGATTTTGCATTGTCCCCATTTTCCATGTGCATATGAAGTTGAAATTTGTTTACAATCTGTCCCTTATAGTGATCTGTTTGACTTCTGTGGTTTGGAAAACTGATTGCGCTTTTGAAGCATGGAAAAATGTGATTTTTGTTATGAACCCATTCATGACTTTGGTAAGCTGTAGAGTCCCAGTAACTGTTGGGGGCTGATTTGCTACAAAAGAAAATAGCTAGGTTTTGGGTACATGAGTTATGGTCACTATACTTATATGCTGTAAATGCTACCTTTTCGTTTCTGGTCCAAGAGTTGAAACCAGAAATCCCAGATTTTGCTTTGAGGTTGCCTGTAGAGAAGGGGGAGACGTGCTGACCCAAAACACATATCCTGAGATGCAAGCTTCTCACAAGAAGGTAATAAACAGCTTTTGTCTGAATATCTCCTTGTATGTAGCTTTGGTGTCGAGGTTAAGATATTTGAGCCCAAGTGCCCCATAAGGGAATATGTGCATTTGAAATGGGGTCCTGGGTGACACTTAGCCCCAGTGACTGGCCCAAATCTACCCAAGCTTTTATGATTTCCCCAAAAGCCCCTGAGCTAATGTCTGTCACATCTGGTCCTTAGTGCTGGCAGTCATGTAAACATGATATTCATGGAGCACTGCCGGAAAATGTTAACAAATTTAGTATTTTCTTCACAGCTGTTTCACTATGAAGGTTATTAGGTATTACACAGCTATCATCAAAACATTTTTTTAATTAGCTTCTTCTTCAGCACTGTATTTAATTACAAGCACTTAGCCACAGGGAATGTTTACATCTCATAACCTCTAAATGAGAGAATACACAAGCTATAACACAACACAGCAATCTAGGTGTGTGTAAAATTGCATGAACAGCTAAGATATATGTCACATTGAGATCTATGTTAATGTCAAACATCACAAAGCAAGACCTGAAGAGATGCTGTTGAAGAACCTTTAACATGAAGTGTTTAAGCAGCATATGTGAGTGAATTGTGGCATATATTTGTCTAAAATGAGTTTCAAGAAATAGGCAATAGTAGGCTTCTATTAATAGTAGATTCCAAAGTCACCTATTAACTTATTGCCAAATATAAATTATGTTCATGTCAGAGTGCATAACACATATTTCCTTAATTTCTTTAAATATTTTCACAAAATTTTATGATGGTTGATGGCCCTTTAACTTCTATAATATAAAAAACAAAACAGCAGTTCAACAGCTTTATTCAGGCATCAGTGGTCAGTGACAATGTGGTGAGTATTATATCAAAGGAGTGGATAATTCTCACTATATGGTACCAACTATAAATATAATATGAAAATTTCCCCTTCCAAGATATATAGGAGAGAATCTATTGTCTTTGGAACACAGAGAGTAATTCACATTCTCTGAGTGTGACTTGGAGACCTGCAACTAAGAACTGTAGCTGAATACATGGTTATATGTGCCACTGATTTAAGTACATGGCAATTTCTACCCATATGTGAGGAAGAATATAAAAGTGACTTGTTACCTTTCTCCTTTTACTATGTTTTATGCTTTTTCTCCATGATTTTTTTTTCAGGGTTCCTGAATGCTTAAACAATATTAGCCTTCATTTCAATCTATTTTTACTGGCATATTTTCTGTTCAAAGGTAGGGGGTAACTGCTTTGAAAAAATAAATCATAAAATCAACATTCTGTTTCTTGGTTTGAAACTTCCCATTTTATCTAGTGGTTATGGAGGAGAATTCAGAAATCTATAGCTTTCCTGAGAGGGCTCCTGGGCAACAGCCAAGTAGAGTACTGATTATGCAGGGGTCTGAAATATATTGGCTAGCCAAGTAAAGTGATTTTTTTATTTTGTTCATGTCTTAAGATCTGCAGTAGTGTATTGGAGTCATTAGTCACAATTTAGTGAGCACTGGTTTAAAAAAAAAAAAAAGGAAACAACAAATGTGGAAAGTGTTCACTTTGGGGATGTTTCCCTAAGCCAGCACTCAGGCCACATGGGTCTTGCATCAGAGGTGCCAGAAATAGGAGGAAAAGCACTTCCACAGAAGTGATTTCTCATCCCCGGAAGGCATTTTCACCTACACTGACAGCTATTAGGCAGTGTCTCTGAAGCTGCAGAAACAAGTAATCTCAGCAGTCCTATTTGTCTGTAAAAGGTGTGTGGTCTCTGCTGTTCTGAAACCTTAAGCACCAAGTTTAGAAACTGTGTTGTGGTGGACAGTTTCTCTTCAGCCCCCTAGGCCCTGTTTCAAGGTATTTTCAATACAAATAGTAGTTCATGACTCCGGCTTGCAGCTTTCCACTTCAAGGTGAAACACTTTGAAAATCCATATGTATGCAAGAAATGAATTCAAGTCATTTGGGAACAAAGATGTTTTGCCAGCATTCATTAAGTGCCTTGGATACACTTGTCCCCATATTCCTCCAGATAAAGCAGTTTGATTGCTCTTCTTGCATCCAAGCTTAACAATAACAACAATGAGCACAATTTCAAATGCTTACAAACCCATTAGCCAAGTTCATTACACTTGATTCATTTGAGATGCATTTCAATACCACTTGAACTTGTTGGTCCTCCATAAAATATTGACACTTCCCTTAAGAGTACATTTATTCAGATGGAAAGGGTCCTAGATGCAACCATTTAACCTGTTAGCATCCTTGGCTGTGAGAGACCTTCATAAACAGAACGGGAGCTGTTTGCCTCCCTGGGAGGATGCTGATGTTCACTCTTCAGTGCTTGTGCACAAATGAACAGTGAGTATCCATTTCATTATTTTCCTGCAATGTTCAGTGGGTGCATCCCACTCCTGGCTCTTTCCTCTGTTTCATTAAAGAATTTCTTCCTTATAGCTGCTGATAGGCTGCAGAGTTTGTTTTCACTTGTCTGTTTTTGTAGTGTGTGGTAACTTTGAAAAGTTGTTCAGCTTGCTTCCTCTGAGATAATGAATTTAATGACAAATATTAAAAAATCATAGTGTTTCAAACCACCATCAGAAATGAGGTTATGTTTTGGATGATATTGGTACCTGCTACCTGTAGTAAATGAAACATGTAGAACTTCTAGCTCTTAGGTCAGGAAATTACCTTACCATGATGTTCATCTTCTCCTGCCTTCCAGAGCATGAATGTGCTTGTACATACTGCTTCCTTATTTTTGAATGAAATCTTTGAAATCTGTTCATCATGAGCTTGAGTGCAGTTTCCTCTGCATTGGACAGCATGAATCTCTTAAATAACACAAAGAGGTAAATACTTCCTTTGCTTTTGCCCTGAGTGTTGTTTCCATGCTGCGATAGTTGTCATATTCCTTATGAATATCTGAGGAAAAATCCTACTATCTTGTCCTTTTTCCAGATTATAGTCAGCAACTTTTGTTCTCTTTCTTCCCCACTTGTTTCTTCTCACATTCTGCTTTGGTCTGTTTTGCTTTTGAACTCCAGATGTGAGCTTATGAATCCAGCCATGCTCATTGTCCGTAATTTGGCTCTTCTGGATGGTTACACATGGGAAAAACAAGTTCTCAGTAGGTATAGCCTATTTCTCTTAGATAGCAGCTTTTTGCATTTCACTGGTGGAAGTGTCCAGGAGAGATGAGAGATGAAAATTGAGCTCCTTTTGCTCATCTGGTAAGTGGAATGGGTTTTGCATCATATACAAGACTAAGTTTGAGACTAACGTTTCAATGAGCTGTGCTAATGGCTGCTGTCAGGGGATTGACGGGAAGCAATAGCAGGTTTAGTTAAGATAACTACCTGGGACATAACAGAAGGTGTGTGAGTCTGCCTGGAATGGTGGAATTACCTGAGATAACAGGCCAGAGCAGAAATGTGGCCTGTTTTCTGAATGCCGACATATATGCCTGGGCATTGGCCTTGAATGCTGCTGAATGAAAACTATACTGTGGAAGTTTTGCATTAAATTTTTGACAGTGTAGACCTGGAGGTCTGCATATTGAATTGTTGTTGTGTTAATTCTTATGGAGCAAATACAAACAAAATAGGAAAGTTTTGTTTCCAGAAAAATCTTTTGATTTCCGATTTTCCCCTTTCAGGGAAAATTCTAAAAAAAAATAAACAAACAAACAAAAAAAAAACTGTAAAGCTAACCTTTGTGGAAAACAATAAAGGTGAATTTTTTATTCATTGAAATATGGAACTTTATTTCAAATCAGAACTTAGAACTTTCAATGGCTAATCATTTTTTCCTGCTTAAAAAACAACTAATATCTGCACTATTCCACTTATGTGTCAAACTTTTCTGTGTAATCAATTTTTCATTAAAAAGATCAACTACTTAACCCATTGCCATGCAATAATAGTTTAGAACAAAGTTCATCCTTAAACCATCAGGAATA